GTGAAAGGGAGCATTGTTGACGTGGAGTGACGGGACGGACTGGTTGTTATTACATTCATAGGGAAAAAACACCTGAGGGGGGGAAGATAAGGATGAAATATAAATAAAAAGACTGTGGAGATGATGTTGATGTCGTCCTGCGTGACCCCATATCGCAGAGCGGATCGGGCCCGAGGCGCCCAAGGAACACCTAGCCACGCGCCGGCTGCTCCCTGGAGCCGGGCACCCGCGCACAGCGCCAGGCCGGAGGGGGAGGCGGAGCGTAGGAGGCGGGAGGGAGGAGGGGTGGAAGGAGGGAGGGGAGGAGGCCGCGGAGACGGAGGCCGAGGGCCAGGGAAAGGTGGGGAGGGAAGGAGGAGGGAAGGAGGAGGGAGGGAAGGAAGGAGGGGAGGAAGGAAGGAGGGAGGGAAGGAAAGGAGGGGAGGAGGGAGGGGGAGGAAGGAGGGGAGGAAGGAGGGAGGGAAGGAGGGGAGGAGGGAGGGAGGAAGGAGGAAGGAGGAAAGGGGAGAGGGAGGGAAGGAAGGAGGGGAGGAAGGAGGGAGGGCAACGGCCGGGGCCTGGACCCAGGTACACGGCAGGTAAGCGCGCCCCCCGGCGAGGAGGGCCACGGCGAGGGAAGGCCACGCCTCAGCGAGGTGGCGCCCCCCCGAGGGAGGGCTCCTCGAAGGCACCGGGCCCCGAGGAGGGAGCCCCGCCAGGGCACAGGCAACGGAGGGCCCGCCCCCACGCCGAGGCCCCCCGAGGGAGGGTCACGGACACGGCCGCACGGTCCGGGACAGGGAGGAAGGAAGGACGGGCCCGCCAGCGCCTGGGAGGCGACCAGGACTCGCCGCCGCCCGGCACGGCGCCGCCCGGCCGAAGGCAGCGCGGAGCCCGCATACGCCGCACCCCCCGGACCCCCCCGCCGGCCGTGCCGTGCGCCGCAACCGGGACCGGGATGGAAGGGAGGAGGGAGGCGAGGGAAGGGGGGAAAACGGAGGGCCGAGGAGGGAGGGAGGGAAGGATGGAGCGGGAGGAGGGAGGGAGGGAAGGAAGGGAGGTGGGACGGCGAGGGCAACGGGGAAGGAGGCGAGGGAGGGATAACGCGAAGGAGGGGAGTGACCCGGCCGGAAGGAAGGAAGGAGGGGCTAGGGAGGGAGGGAGTGAAGGAAAGGAGGGCGGAATGTGATTGGAGGGGAGGAGGGAGGGAGGGAAGGAAGGAGGGGGAGGAAGGAGGGAGGGGGAGGGTGGAGGGAGGGAAGGAAGGCGGCTTGGAAGGAGGGGAGGGAGGGAAGGAGGGGAAGGAAAGGAAGGAGGGGAGGAGGGAGGGAGGGAAGGCAAGGGAGCGATCCGGGACAAGTGAGGGACTAGCCGCAACGGACCCCCCGGAGCGCGCGACGGCAGGGATGAGGTACACGGCTACAGCCCCCCGAAAGGAGGGGGGTGCCGTAGGAGGGAAGGAAGGCGAAGCGCTGCCCCGGAAGGGCTCGGGACGGAAGGAGGAGGAGGAGGGACGCGGCGGGAAGGAAAGGGCAGGAGGAGGGAGGGAAGGAGGAGGGGAGGAGGGAGGGAGGAAGGAAGGAGGGGAGGAGGGAGGGAGGAAGGATAGGGAGGAGGGAGGGAGGGAGGGGTGGAGGGAGGGAGGGAAAAGGAAGGAGGGGGAGGAGGGAATGGAAGGGAGGTGGGAGGGTAGGGCAGGTAGGAGAGGGAGGGGGAGGGAAGGAAGGGAGGACGGGGGGGGGGAGAGGAAGGAGGGGAGGAGGGACGGAGGGGAGGAGGGAGGGAGGGACGGGGAAGGGAGGAGGGAGGGAGGGAAGGGAAAGGTGGGGAGGAGGGAGGGAGGGAGGGAAGGAAGGAGGGGAGGAGGGAGGGAGGGATAGGAAGGGAGGAGGGAGGGAGGGAGGGAGGGAAGGAAGGAGGGGAGGAGGAAGGAAGGGAGGAGGGAGGGAGGGAGGAAGGGAGGGGAGGTGGGAGGGAAGGTAGGGAGGAGGGAGGGAAAGGAGGGGAGGGGGGACGGAGGGTCGAGGAGGAGGGAGGGAAGGAGGGGAGGAAGGAAAGGGGGGAGGAGGGGAGGGGAGGGAAGGAAGGAAGGTGGAGGAAGGAGGGTTGGAAGGGCGGGAGGATAGGAGGGGGGATGGAAGGAGGGGAAGGAGGGGAGGAGGGGAGGGAGGGAAGGAAGGGAGGAGGGAGGGAGGGGAATGGAAGGAGGGGAGGAGGGAGTGAGGGAAGGAAGGAGGGAGGAGGGAGGGAGGGGGAAGGTATGGGAGGGGAGGGAGGGAGGGGAGGGGGAGGGAGGGAAGGAAGGAGGGGAGGAAGGGAAGGAAGGAGGAGGGAGGGAGGGAACGGAAGGAGGGGAGGAGGGAGGAAGGAAGGAAGAAGGAGGGGAGGAGGGACGGAGGGGGGAAGGAGGGAGGGAAGGAGGGAACAGGACAAGGAAGCGCTCCGGCAGGCACGCGTGGAGGCCCGACGCGCGCTCCGGCCCGAAGGAAGGAGGGGAGGAAGGAGGGGGGGAGGAGGGGCGCGAAAAGGAGGGAAGGAAGGAGGGGAGAGGAAGGAGGGAGGGGAGGAGGACGCGTACGGCGCTAAGGCAACCGGCACGGGGAGGAAGCGCACCGGCCCCCAGCACGGGGTCACGGAAGGAAGGAACGGGGAGGATCGGGAGGGAGAGGAAGAAGGGGAGGAGGGAGGGGGGAAGGAAGGATAGGGAGAGGCAGGGAGGGAAGGAAGGAAGGGAGGGGGGAGGGAGGGAAGGAAGGGAGGAGGAGGGAGGGAAAGGAAGGGAGGGGTGGTGGGGGGAGGGAAGGGAAGGGAGGAGGGACGGGACAAGGAGGGGAGGAGGAGACGGAGGGGTGAGGAAGGAGGGAGGGAAGGAAGGGGAGGAAGGAAGGAGGGGAGGAGGGAGGGAGGGAAGGAAGGAGGGAGGGAAGGAAGGAGGGGAGGAGGGAAGGGAGGGAAGGATGGAGGGGAGGAAGGAGGGAGGGAGGAGGGAGGGAAGGGAAGGAGGGGTGGAGGAAGGAGGAGGGAAGGAGCGGGAGGAAGGAAGGCGGGGAGGATGGGATAGGGCGGGAGGGATGGAAGGGAAGGAGGGAGTGAGGGAAGCGAAGGAGGGGGAGGAGGGAGGGAGGTAAGGAAGGAGGGGAGGAAGGGAGGGAGGGAAGGAAGGAGGGGAGGAGGGTGGGAGGGAAGGGAAGGGAGGAGGGCAGGGAAGGAGGGGAGGACGGGACGGAGGGAGGTAGGAGGGAGGAAGGAGGGGAGGAAAGGAAGGAGGGGAGGAGGGAGGGTGGAAAGGAAGGAGGGGAGGGGAAGGAGGGAGGGAGGAGTGGGGAGGGAGGGAGGGAAGGAAGGAGGGGAAGGAATGAGGGAGGGGAGGAGTGAGGGTAAGGAAGGAGGGGAGGAAGGAGGGAGGGAGGAGGGGAGGAAGGAAGGAGGGGAGGAAGGGGAGGGAGGGAAGGAAGGGGAGGAGGGCGGGAGGGAGGAGGAGGGGAGGAGGGAGGGAGGGAGGAAGGAGGGGAGGAGGGAATGGAAGGGAGGGCGGGAGGGAGGGAAAGGAAGGAGGGGAGGAGGCGAGGGAGGAAGGAAGGAGTGGAGGAGGGAGGGAGGAAGGAAAGGGAGGGAGGGAGGGAGGGAAGGAAGGAGGGGAGGAGGGAGGGAGGGAAGGAAGGGGGGAGGAGGGAGGGAGGCAAGGGAAGGGAGGGAGGGAGGGAGGGGAGGAGGGGGGAGGAGGGAGGGAGGGAAGGAAGGAGGGGAGGAGGGAGGGGAGGAGGAGGGAGGGAGGAAGGAAGGAGGGTGAGGGATGAGGGAAGGAAAGGGAAGAGGGAGGGAGGGGAGGATGGAGGGGAGGAGGGAGGGAGGGAAGGAAGCGAGGGGAGGAGGGAGGGAGGGAAGGAAGGGTGGAGGGCAGGGAGGGAAGGTAGGGGGGGAGGAGGGAGGAGGGAAGGAAGGGGGGAGGAGGGAGGGAGGGAGGAAGGGAAGGAGGGAGGGAGGGAAGGAAAGGAGGGGAGGAGGGAGGGAGGGAAGGAAGGAGGGGAAGGGAGGGAGGGGTGGGAAGGAAGGAGGAGGGAGGGAGGGAAGGAAGGAGGGGAGGAGGAGGGAGGGAAAAGGAAGGATGGGAGGAGGGAAGGAAGGGTGGGGGAGGGGATGGGAAGGAAGGAGGGGAGGAGGGGACGGATGGAAGGAAAGGAGGGGAGGAGGGAGGGGGTGGAAGGAAGGGAGGGAGGGAGGGAGGGAAGGAAGGAGGGGAGGAGGGAGGGAGGGGAAGGAAGTAGGCGTAGGAAAGGAGGGGAGGAGGGAGGGGAGGAAGGAAGGAGGGAAGAAGGAGGGAAGGAAGGAAGGACGGGAAGAGATGGTGAAAAAGGCTAAGCTATTTGGAAGATATAAATCGTTTATGTACATTCAGTTGCCTGGGATGTGGCATAAATGGGCCAGATTAATTCCGGGGATCAAGAGCTCTCAGCAGCAGCACCAGTGAGGCGACAGGACGTGGAAACAGTGGTCAACAGACTCAGTGGGGGATGATAGAGAGAGTAATGGAAAAAGAAACTAGTGGAGTTGGTAGGCGATATTAGAAAGGATGTGGGATAAGTTGGGTAAGGAAAAATGGGACACGAGGAACCCTCACGGGTTTGTGCTTTCATCAATGATAAACGGTGTTTGTATGTTGGTTGTGTGTTGTAAGATAGATGGAGAGTTTATTTATTAGCTTTAAAAGTTCAGCCTTTGCTGTCTTAACTAGGACCGTGCCAGAGTTTGAGGTCTGTGTCTGGTCATTGGTTTGTCTCCACTTATTGTACTTTATTACCCAATTTTATTATGGCACAACACAGTAGCAGTATAGACAACTGAAAGGAACAATTAGCTCTGTATATTTCGGCTTCACACTGAGACTCTTCAGGAAGCTCAGTGTGACGACTAAATATGCAGTACTCATACAATCTTCCTTTTATTGTTTTTACGATTAAGCAGTGTTTATTACACTTGTATGCTTAGTTTATGTTTGTTCTTATGCGTGTGGTGTATTGCAGGCTGTGTTCGAGCGGTTGGTGGACATCATCTGCGACAAGATGTCTGAGAGTCTGGACACAGATCCCAACCTTGTGAACGCCAGCAAGAGCACGCGACTCACAGATAACCCTCAGCCACAGAATGGCTCGTGTCAGTGCTAACATTCTGGGGCACGATAATCTCCTTCACCTTCTCCACCTCCCATCCTTCTGTTCGCCCCTAACATAAGCTTACCAGCGTATAGCCACGCCCACACATACACCCGGACTACGCCAACAACCCGAATAATTCTGAGCTGTTTCAAAGAAGTGGTCATCCAACATGACTGAGGACCTGGGCGTGTGGTCAGTGCTGCTGCCTCTTCTGCTTCTTTCAAGCAGAGCAAATTGGCAGCAGCAACTCTCAGTACAGAAACATTGTAATTGATAGCAATTTTTTCCTGTAAAATGTAACGAGACTATATTTCCAGGGTACGAACAAGGATTAGCACAAGAATAAACGAAAATATTTAGGTCATTTATGCTCGGCATGGTTGAGTGTTAATTCATTCTAAAATTGTACTCTTCTCGAGGTCGACCTAACATTAAGAGTATGAATGCTGTAAATACCCACTGTACTCCTTTTTGTCCCCTCTGTTTCCCCAGCATAGCGATTTCAGGGGATATTCTGAAAATTACCTCGGGTAATGTAAACCATTTAATCGACATAAGAATACTAGAACTGGTTTGTTTATGTCCAGCCACCTGGGCATTTTGTTGTGAGCATGACGTGAGTAACTCTTTGTTTACCAATGATAGTGTCTTCGTTTATGTCAATTGTTACAGTTTTAAAGGGTGGGGGGGATCCCTACTTGGGAGATTGTCTGCGAGGTGTATTTTCGAACACGGTTGATATAAACTAGATCTTGACACAGTTTGTGAATTAGGATTGATAATGCAAAGGAAACATGAATTTGGCCACACATTCGTCTGCTTCGAAAACATACTTTTGTTCTAAATGTCACCATGTACACTGCTGCAAAAACCCCCCCTGTGAATTGGGAGACAAGGAAATGTTTCAATAACTGTTCATATACAGTTTGACTCAAAACATCTACAGTTGCTGAATATTTTTGTTTTTTTGCCGGATCAATATAGATAGCCTCAACCACTGTCTCTGCTATCTTAACCACTGTATCTCTACTCTCTCAGCCAATGTATCTCGGTATCTCATATCACAGTATCATCTCTCCCGACTGTATAACTCTCCTCTCCCACTGTATCTCTAACTCTCAGTATATCTCCATTTATTTTCCTCACTTCATTGTTAATTTCTTGCAATGTGACAAACTTATTTATCTTGTGCTTACTCCATTCTCTCAGTTTTTTCCCTTATTTCTTTATCTGTAGACATTTAATGAACATAGATTAGTTAATAGGACTATAAGATGTATACACACATGAAATATAAAACACATTTAATGTATGAGTTATGTAGAATAATACTAATAATAATAATAATAATAATAATAATAATAATAATAATAATAATAATATATACTGATAATATACTGGCTAACGTTTCCGTGATGACCAATAAAGGGCCTTGAAAAATATTTGTTGGCTATAGTGGAGAAGGGACATATCTAAGTCATAAAAACTATTAAGTGAAGTTTTATCTTGGAATATAGATATACTATATATATTTTATTTATATATTTATTATATATTTTTATATATATTAACATTCATTTGGGGTGAAAATTAAATTGTAAATAGTTTGTCCATTTGTTTGGTCTGGATTCTGGCATAATAACAATATGGGAATCCCTGACTCAGGGAACTTCTAGGAAAATATGGCTCCAACGGGAAAAATAAACTGAATTTGTTCTTAAACATGCACTCCGTATGTCAATTAAATAACTCGAAATATACTTTCAGACCATCACAATAAGAAATTTTCTTTGATAAGACTGGCGCATGTATATATATATATATATATATTATATATATTATTTATATATATATATACATTATGGAAAATTGTTATATTTGCCTGTTCGGAAACTCAGCACTCGGTAAGCTCCTTTGCATGAGTTAGGTCGAGATGGAAAGTGTTTAATCCCAATAAACGTGTTTACAGGGTCTTATGGACCTCACTGATGGGATTCTACAGGGCCTGTGACTTCCACTCGTATTTTAAGTTGCGGAGCTTATATATTTGTTACTGTGAATCACAGAAGTTAAACAGATTGTTTAAATAAGGGTGATTAAGCTACTGTAAATCCTATAATAATACCAAGATCCAAACCTAGCAGTATTTTATTATAATATTCAGAGACGTGTTAGTTGTCGTTATTTCATTTGAACAATGACTCATCTGACCTGAACGTTCATTAACTTATCATGGACTGAAGCCATTATTACTTGATTAAAAAATAATTGTGTGTATAGTAAATATCTTATTATTGGGTACTTCGGCCTTAACAATAAATCAACAGTATGGGTTATACATTCTGTCTTCGATGTAACTACACAGTTTCGGCTTGTGATCTTGTAATGAGGATAAAAGAATGGTTTGTGTGTCCATGACTCAGATGCCTTTTACTGGAAGGATTCTCAGTTTAATATATTATACGACTCAATGTTTCTGCAGTTTATGTTTGAAAACCTTCAGATTGATTCTCTTGTAAGTCTGTCCGTGTATTTTTTTCAGAGCATTTCTCTGGAGGGTTAATCACATTCCTTTTTACTCAGTAACTACAAAAAAGAATTATATATGTTTCATGTTGTGGTTATAGTTATCATCCCCATCTTTTTCTCTTTTTGTTGTGCAGACAAGATGTCCTGACACCTGAAAACCTCTTTACATCCCACGTTCAATAACCCAAGACGAGTTTTCTTTGTGCTAAAGCATATACATTTCTACTCCAAGCCAAACGGCTACTCACACGTTGGTGCCATCTTCTCAGAGAACATTGAGCATGATAAGATAGTTTACTCGAGATGGTTCCCTCAATACGGCTGTGAAAATCTGCGTGGCGTCAGAGACAAAACAGTTATACTACACAGGTGTCTCGCCTTAGTTCAGTACTGTGTCATTGGACTTATGTTGTAATTTTGTGAAAATGAAATTTTTCTCCAAACGAATCGTCTCCTTAGTGTCAATATCAGTGATTGTGGGCTCTAGTGTCGAGTTACTGTCATTTTCCAGGTTCCTTCTGCGTCAAAGAACTTGGCATTATTGACAAAATGATGACTTGAAATCTCTTTTGGAGACTCACATCCTGGAGCCTAAAGTATCAGGTGATGCCATTGCTTGTGAGTGACGCTTGTAAATCATTGGCTAAGTCTCAACCAGGCAAGTTTTAGCTCCTCCGAGATGACTGGTTCAGACTTGCCCAATATTGTATGACAACAACTTCCATAAGAATAGTTGGGGTTAAATCACAAGCAGTGTGTACATAAGTGTCAGTGTGCCATGTATCCTTCTATCTCCCAGGTGCTGACTCCATCCAGAGAGCAAATTGAAGTAAAAACATCATAGTTTTATAATATACAACATTCATGTATGTTAGCATTCAGAATCAACAATACTATTTGCTGCATTAAATGTTTTAAACTATATACCTCTTTCAGTAGATTAATATAACCAACATACTTTATTATTTTTCTCTACTTCTAGTGTCCTACGGTCAAAGAAAAGCACAAGTGTGTCTGTGTCTTCTAATACTTGTTTCTATATGTCATCAACTTGCCTGAGGATGGGGCCTCGCCCTCTGTCTCTGTACCTGTGGTGTGACAAGCGGTTAACAACACTACTTGCTCCAGTGTTAAGCTTCATTCTCCGGAGTCACGAAACAAATGTCAAAGCATTGTACTATGTTAGTCAGGTTGTGAATGGTTAGTGTGATTTTTCATAAAGCTGTGTTCACATCAAATTTGACACAATAACTGCATCTAGCTCCAAGGATGAGGCGAGTACATGATTATTATTATAGCATTCACTCCCTCATGACTTGTGGCTTGGTGTAAGAAAATCTGGCGCTGTGTTGTGAGTATGACTGTTAACACAGGAGGCTGTTCCGTGTTGGGTTATATCAGCCAATGAGAATGCTGACCTACTTTTAGATACTCGTAAAGCTCTCCTCTCATTGAAGCATGTAAACCAATTATCAGACTGCTGCCTGTATGTATAAACAAAACAAATTATATTTACTACGTCAACCACACTTTGGACTTTCAAGGAATAGTGTTAAACATCAATTTTGGGAACTTTCATAATGTTCAATTTCCCTGAAACTGATTGTTTGACTCTACCATAGGACACATTGCCAGACCCCTGGCGTCGCTTGAGCTGGCCACACCACACTCTGCTCTCCACCTTCCTACGACTCCAGTATGCTAGATTTTGCTATACACTGTCATACTTTTTATAGCAAAGTGTCGAGTACTACAACATTTCGTATCATCAGTGTGAGCAAATTGTTCCACCGGCCTTGAGGCGGGGAGCCAGAGTGCTAGTACGCTTAAGTGCAGACAGTATTTGTTAATGAAGTTTGACACCATGTTAGTGTGTAGTGAAGGCCAAAATAAGGTTATGTAATCCAGCAGAGTGTGGAGAGTGAGGCTGGCGGGGGTGTTGTGTCGGTCGGGTGTGATGTAGCCAGGAGTCCCGCTAGGTCTACGCCTCATCCCCTTGTTGTTAGTTCTTGTGAAAACACGACAAAAAAAATCATCGCAGTTTTAAAAAAGGCAGGCTTCATCATCAATAAAGAATTATGTTGCGAAAATATGGTCTTTTGAGTCTTCCTTGAATATTACAAATAATTTTTCTATCAAGTGAGGGATCTTGATGGTGGTGAAAAATTCTTGATTCCAAGAATTGGAGCTACCGTCCCCTTTAGTGAATCAAACGTGATTACGTCCAATTCCACAAGCGTTGTATGGCCCCCATGGGTTTAGTGAGTCCCCATAAATATATAATAGTAATTTAGATTTTATACTAGTATCTGCAGATCTCCAACACAGAGGCAGCTAACTCGTCATCTGTATCTAGATCACCATAGAGGCAGCTAACTCGTTATCTATCTAGATCACCATAGAGGCAGCTAACACGTTATCTGTATCTAGATCACTATAGAGGCAGCTAACACGTTATCTGTATCTAGATCACTATAGAGGCAGCTAACACGTTATCTGTATCTAGATCATAGAGGCAGCTAACACGTTATCTGTATCTAGATCACCATAGAGGCAGCTAACACGTTATCTGTATCTAGATCACCAAAGAGGCACCTAACACGTTATCTGTATCTAGATCATAGAGGCAGCTAACACGTTATCTATATCAAGATCATAGAGGCAGCTAACACGTTATCTGTATCTAGATCGCCATAGAGGCAGCTAACACGTTATTTATATCGAGATCATAGAGGCAGCTAACACGTTATCTGTATCTAGATCGCCATAGAGGCAGCTAACACGTTATC